TTGTTTCAGCATTCTTTTAAACCAACGTGATTGGTCATTGCTACAGCTTGTGATCTCAAATTCCATAGTTAAATTAATGTGCATTGTATAAAGAGATGATTCTCTTTTGTCCTGATTCTTGTTAAGGAACTTGCTTTCCTTTCTAAAGCAAGTGCTCAGTCATGGCAGATATAAATGAGTAATGCTTAAAATCTCAGAAATGTGAATAAATGATAAGGAGTTAGTTTTCAGCTCCCACGATTATGTTTTCTTATGACTGGCCCCACCAGGCATAAGAAAAATATAAATCAAAAGAAAAATACACAGATCATTTAAATGTATAATTTAACATTTATGAGCAGGCAACTCTTTCGTTTTAAAAAAAATGGCATAATCTTGATTATGGATAATATATTCATTTTACATGTATCTTCCAGTGCTAAGAAAACATATAATTAAAATATGTTTTGCTGCTTTTCTGCAGAATTTATCATTCTACCAAGCCACTTCTGCACACTGTTTTTTCACTTGTTCCATCTAAACCACCATATACACAATTTCCTTTGTTTTTCCATTCCACGTGTAGAAAATTAATTTATTCCCCTATAACATCAAAGCCACATCACTTTTGTAATAGCTTGAGGACCTTGTTCCAGACCACCCATTGCCAATATCATTATTGTATGCAATGAAATTGTGCATGTGTTTACAAAGTCTTTGCAAAATGTGTAATAAACCTGTGTACACACACACACACACACACACACACACAGTAATTATTTCCCCATTGTTGCAATTTTAGGTGCTTGTTTTAAAAAAACTCTTCAAACATAATGCATATTTAGTATCAGTGACTGTGTTGTACTGTACAGTCATAATGACGAATATGTTCAGATGGTAAGAGTTTAAAAAAATAAAAAAGCAAACAATTTTCATCTTGTTCAAATGTTCTTTCATTTGAAAGCCTGCCTGACCTCATCCCATAAGGTTGATGAGAAAGTAAATCTACATACAGTAGAGCTATTAAACAGTAAGCCCAAAGAAACCGCAGTGTTGGATTTCTGTTTTGTTCAATTGATTTTTGTATCTGAAACTGCTCCTATCCTTCCGTGCTGGAATGCCCATCTAAACTACCTTTTAAGGAATGGTGGTAATTAATATAATTTGGGATATAGTTTTCTGTCACCAAGAAAGTGAATATGGGCAAATTTGTACCTGTTTAGTAATAAAAGATACAGTAATCATATGGAAGCTCTCCAGATGTATCTGAATTACAATTGCTAGCATCTCTTGCCATTAGTCATGGTGAGGGCAAAAGTTTCCAATTTTTACCTTACTGTATAGCCCTAAGTACATCCAGTTATGAGTAAAATCCAGTAAATGCAATTTTCTTTCAAGTGGAAATAAGTAGGATTATTTTGTAATAAGGCAATTATTGATCTTCATTCTGCCTTTTTTTCCCTTTTTTTTCCTTTTCCTCCTCATTCTGCACTTGCTTATGTTTTTTATTTGAGAAATTTGTTTTTGGAAGCTGTTCCATGGAGAAAATATTTTTACAACTAGAACTGCATGTGTGTATGTGTTTCCCTGCCCCCTCCCCCAGGCAAAATCCCCCAAATCAGTCAAATTTAAGTTACTGTTGATCAACAGCTTTTCCTGGAAAATGAACATGTATACACAGTTCATGCATCCATAAATTAAAAAAAAAACACAGGTTAGCCCCAAACCTTATTTTGGTTTCACTCTGCAGTGTTTATTTTTGTGTTTGTAGGGGTGGATGGGGATTGAATCTAGAGAGATTAGAAGGTGGAATACACACATCTTTAAATAACTGTCAATAACAGCTATCAGCACATGAATTGACTCATTTGAATGTGTGAAAACAAACTGTAAGAAATGAGTCACCACCAATCTGTGCCTTTCATCCCAGCAAATATGATTCCCCTTTTTAATCCAAATGAGAGCCTTTAAAAAGAGACACAGATCTTTGATAACTGTGTATCTCTGAGCCCACCTTGCATTCGCTATGTAAAAAATAGTGGAAGGGGGTCATTTAACCACCCAAACCATCCAATGAATCCATAGATTTCATTTTGTTATTCCTTTCAATAATCTGAAAAGCCAGCCAGAATTATTTTACCAGATAAGAAAGTCAGGTGTTTCATTCTGAAGATGAAACTCAAATGCTTTGGCCACTGGAGAACAGCCTAATGCTGGGAAAGATTAAGGGCAACAGAAAAAGGGGACAACAAAGAATGAGGTGGCTGGATGGAGTCACTGAAGCAGTTGGCGTGAGCTTAAATGGACCCCAGAGGATGGTAGAGGACAGGAAGGCCTGGAGGAATGCTGTCCATGGGGTCGCGATGGCTCGGACACATCTTCGCAACTAACAACAGCAACAAAATATTGCCCCAAAGTAGCACTAGAAACCTATTAATTTGATCAAGGCCAACTCACCAGAGTCTGCCCAAACTCTAAAGGAGCAAAAAGGACAACATGAGACCTTGCACAGAAAGGAAGAAAAGCAATATCAATGCAAAAATGGGTGACAGAATCAAAGCCACATGACTTCACAACTAACAACAACAAAGTTTATTGACATTATTACCACTGTATTGCCTTTCATATTTATGATAGGGCTTAAAGGCTTCAAGGTTGAGTGCCTGACACCATGACCTAATGAAATTACTTTCTGAAGCCTACTCGGTACACCTGCTGATCTATTGCTTTGGCAACCTTGGTAGCTGGCAGGCAAGAGATCAGAAACGGATTCCAAACCACATTCTCTGCACCATCGCACTGTTCTTGATATATGTGTGCCTGTCACCTGATGGCTGTAACGTCATGTCTTTTGGTAATGCTAGTCACAATTGCAATCACAGTAAAGTTGTACAAACTGTAACTTCCCTGTGTTTCCCTGGAAAATTAAAGCCCAACACGCTAGTTCCTGCAAGTGTGTTGTTCCAATGTTCTCTTCACTGCAGTATTCAATATAAACAGAGTTTGTCTATCCCAAATACAGAGCCTTTCAATAGACCTGATGCACATATAAAGTGGAATAAAAATGAGGATTCTATGCTCATCTAAAAACATTGTTTCATCCTGGTTCTTATCTCAGTTTCAGAAGCTGCTTTTTCTGTGTTCAATGGTAATAATTATGAGTAACCTTCCTCAAACTGTTGTCCTCCTCTAATATGTCACTTCTGGCCTTTCGTGAACCCCACGTTAAGCTACAGCTTCCATTATTCCCAGACTGCACTACCATTATAGGATGGGGGAATATAGTTCTGCTAAGTGTCAGATTGTGAAAGGTATTCCCAGTGCCTTTCTTCTTCCTTCTCCAATATCTATTTCGACATAGGTACCTTTGTATGTCACCTACTCCACAGTTTGTACTTTAATTTACATTCTAAACCGGTAGTCATCAAACAGTGGGCTGGGGACCATTGGTGGTCTGCAGAAAATTTTGGTGGTCTGCAGAGAAATGTCACCCCCAAAGCACCCCCCCCCAAGCAATTAATCCAGGCTGCGTGGGAACACAAGGCTTGCATTGCGAACATGAGGTAGTGAGGGGAGGGGGGAAAGAGCGGAGGGGGGAACTCATCCTATGCACCTGGCCTGGCCACTGGGCTGTTTCTTTCCACTTCTTTCTTCTTCTGCTTTTGGCTGCACTCAAGGAAAGCAGCAAAAGTCTTTCCTTCTCTCCCCCAAACTCCGCCAGAAATCAGTCTTTGGGATCCTGCAAGGCATCCTGCTCCAAGAAGCCAAGACTCATTTCTGGTGGAGTTTGGAGGAGAGAAAGAAAGACTTCTGCTGCTTCTGCTTCTTTCCTTGCATGAAGCCAAAAGTCTCTCTCTCTTTCTTCTCCCCCCCACACCCCCCAGAATGAAACTGGAGACAGTATCCTGCAATCCCAAATAAAGAATGATCGATCGGTAGGGAAATGGGGTTGGGAATTTTCCTGCAAACTTTTTTGGGGATTTTCCCAGGGTCTCTGGTTTGCTGGATTTAAAATTATGCGTTTGGTAGTCCCTGAAGTCCAAAAGGTTGGCGATCCCTGTTCTAAACCATAAAGATACAACCGTATTCAACTCATTTCCAGCCCAAACACCTTGCACCAGCAGTTGCCTCAGTTAAACAGCACTTTTGCCTGAAAATCTCACTGGAAAATATTGTAGTTTTCGCTGCGATCCTAAACATTAGCAAGGGAAGAGGTGGGGGTATCCAGATTGTTCGGTCTGTTCTCCGCCACTATTGCCCAATTCGGAGTATCGCTGATCTAAAAACGTCTTACGTTGCCTTTTGCCAGCCTTCTCTCTGCTTCACTGAGCTAGTCACATGTGCCAACTTGCTATATTGCAAAAAAGAAGACGAAAAATAAAAAAAGCTACCAAGCACACCTGTCAAGTCCGTGTTTTGCTTAGTCAGGGGTGGAACAAGGGAAGGTTTGGACCGATGGCGCGGAGGAATCTCGCGTTTCCTTAGGGAGCTTGGCTCAGGGAGGAATCGGCAGAGGAAGGTTTGAGGGATTTGGTGTTATCGGGAGGCAGATCCCACTAAGTAACTGAGATTGCGTTTTTTTAAAAAACAACAACAACAAGACACATGACGGCTCAGAACGTTTCGTTTACAGCTGCAACGCCACCCGGTATGCGGAGATTTGGAGTAAGCCTCTGTGATTTTCAGTGAGGCTTACTCTTAGGTAAATATAGGTCGCAGAAGCAAAGCAGGTGTAAAGACTCCCGGAGGCCGGAGGTCGGGCGCGTCTGCGGCTTTTCTCTCGGCGCTCGTCTTTGTGAGGGCATCGCTCAACCCCGCGCTCCACATCTCGCTTCCCTCAGGGCGCCCTGCGCGCGAGCGTTGTGCCTTACGCGCGCGCGCGTGTGTGTGTTTGCCCGCTTGTCTCGCAGGGAGGGGCGGGCGGGCATCTTGAGCGACCAATCGCAGCGCCGTTCGCGGGGAAGGCGGAGAGGGGAGGGTGCGAGCGCCCTGGGTGGGAAAGCGAGTAGCGGGGTGCCCGCAGACCGGACGGGCGAAGGGAAGAGCGAGCAAAGGTATAGATATTATCGAGCGCGGCTGGGTGAGCGCCATCGATTTTTCCCGGGACGACGGAGCCGGCATGGAACCCAACAGTCCCCGTAAGATCCAATTTACGGTCCCGTTGCTGGAGCCTCATCTCGACCCGGAGGCAGCAGAGCAGGTTGGTTAACGTCGGGAGCGCCTACTTTTTTAGGGTGGTGGTGGTGGTCTATATCCTCCCCCCCCCCCCACGCCCTGCTTTCTCCCAATGACAAGTTGAACGGAAAGTAAACCTCAACCCGAGGTTAACCTTGACTCGGATCTGTTTTCTAGGTGGGCTTTCTAATCTCGGGACGTTCGTCCTGAAGTCGTCGTGTAACGCCCGGTCTCCCTAAACACGCGTTTCCCCCTGTATTTCCAGTGCGATTCATTGCTAGGGAAGCGGGCTAAAGACAGACGCTGTGCACATGCGGAACATCATCATCAGCTCATCCCTGAGAACTGTTGTATCACCAGATTTTAAAGTATCCGCACTCCTAGCGTGTGTGATCTCTGGCGGATTTCAAGAACGTCCGTTTGGGTTTTAACACGTGGATTGGCTCCAAATCTGCTAGTTTCCCCCAGAAATCCCCTCTAAACAGAATCTGGTAGAGTAGCCTCTTTCTCGTTGTGTTCCCCAACTAGTAGCTTAGAGAACATTGCTGACTTTCATATTGGAGGTGACATTGCCATCTTGGTTTGGATCAATGATTTGAAAGTCAGGCTTAAACTCTGCCAGTGATGAGCCCTTCTTTTGGTTTAGGTCTTTCTCCAGCTGCAGTCTTCCCTGGCGTTTTATCCAGGTTAACCCTTTTCTCCCTGTTCTGATGCTCCCTTTCGTTACACTCACCCAAATGCCCAAGCGTGGCAACATGAGACTCCACCCGGTTCAATTAATTCAAGTTTTCTGGGTTCACACAATCATCGCCAATTAACTAAACTCACTCCTTCAAATTAACCAAGGTTCAACCGCAGGCTTGTGACCTAGTTCAAGACAAAGCTGGCCAAAATGGACTAGATCATGGATTGCTTGGGACCCCCTCTGTATGTTGGTACAAGTATGCCAGTTGGGAAATTGGAGCTCACCATGGACAGCCCTGATATATTAGGATCAGGCTTTGCCAACACCGTAAGCAGGGAATAGCTAGCCAGAGGAGTTTCTTCTGGATTGCTGGAGGAAGGGAGATGGTTTGATCACCTTGGCAGGCTGTGGGGTTGTGGCTGTCAAATCAGCAGGCTGCTTCCATTTAATCAGAAGAGCTCGATCGGGGCTTATTTGGGCAGATACGTAGCCAAACTCCCCTCTTCTGCACAGTTATTGCAAGTGTTCAGGATTCTGAGCTCCCACTGTTTGTGGCCCTGAACTGTCACTGTTTTTACATTTAATTGACCTCTTGCTTTCCCTGGCTCCTCCTCTGCTACTTTCCATAGCACCATCCTCTGGAAAGGGAGAAAGTGATTGTGCCTGTGTCCCTGCTGTGAGGAGCTTCCCCTACAGATGAAGCTGCCCCCTATAAATCCAGGCTACCTCCCCCCTCCCCCCCCCCCCCTCCCCCCCCCTCCTCCTCCCGATTTACTGATAGTCCTGTTGGAAGCTCTTTAAGGGGACAGAGTAGTCATCCCTAATCCCTTTTCCACTCACTCCCTTTTCATTATGCTACATATTGATTCTTTTAGATTAGTTGCAATTTCATCATTAGGTTCTAATGATCTTGATATTGTTACTTAGCTTCAAAATGGATACCCAGGAAGCCATATGGGAATAGTTGGGCGGGGTTGGGGGGGTGGAAATAACCCAGGCTCTCTCCAATGGTGTTGAATTAACACCTGTTTAACCTGCAGCCTTCCCGGGTTTCTCTTGCCCTGCCCTACAGCTTTTGGGACAAAAGAGTAAAGTTATTTTTTTTTTCAACTGCAGTGCTATTTCTTTTAGCTCTTTGATCCACTTCAGTGGATAGGACTTGCTGTCCTACCTGGGCATGTGCCTTCTCTGAGTAATAGTCACCTTTATCATGGATTAAGTCGTCTTTAGGAACCCCAATCTACTCGGGTCCTGCACATCACGTTTAGCAATAGCAATTATTGGAGGAAGGCAGTGAAATCTAATTGCTCAGGATAGCTTGGAACGACAAGCTGTTACTGATATATTAATTCTGTCTTCTGAGCTTTTTTTTTAAAAAAAGAGTTAAAATCTCCTTTGAGTTGAGCTTGACCTTTTATAACCTCATAAATACGTCCATGCCGTTTTCTTCATGACAGTATGGAAAATATTTGCTGCTACCTTCTTCTGGCATGCTAAAGAAAAAAGAAAAGAAAAAAAATCCCAGTCTAGCCTGCAGCTGTGGATTTCCTGCATAGGAACTGACTGTATGCTCAGTTCAGACAAGATGGAGAGTCAGGTGTGTCAGGTTTCTCCATCTTTTCACTTCACCTGCTTTCTTGCACAGGCGGTCACTGTCAACAAGGGACAGCTCAGGGACTTGCTTCTTTCTGGGAAGTATCCCTGAGGAGAGTTTTTGAGAGAAGCTAATAAAAGCTGACCTTTAGAACAAAAGAGACCAAAATCTCCTCAGCAGTTTCATCTACAGGTACAAGAAATCAAAGTCTTAAAATAAGCCTGCTATAGATGCCATTCTTCTTACTTGAAGAAATCAAAACTGCCCTAGGAAAGGCCCATGGCTTCTTTTATCAGAGAACAGAAAATTCTAAATTCTATCCTTAAGTTTGAATATAGTTAAAAGAGTTGGAGGTTGGGAGTTGTATTTCAAGAAAATCTGGATGGCCTTCTCTCCAGTGGGCTTAGATTTTTTTATTTATTTAGCCAAACCCAGGTTCAAATGATTCTGCTGCTTTACCAAAAGCTTACTTCCTCCCCAGGTTATCTTTTTATTTTCTTTCCTTGAGTGAACATCTTGGTCTTCTGGGTCACCATGATTCTTTAATGATCCCACAGCGTGCAGTTGCCTGATTAAAGGTCCCCTAATGGGAAGTAAAAGATATACCTCTCCAGAGGTGTGGTGATTTGGTTAAGATGGACTCCTCTAGCTTTGGATGACATCGAGAGTAGTGAGGTGCATTTGTTGGAAATGAAGGATTAGTTTAGGCATCCTTGCCCCACATTCTGATTTTCTACCATTTGGAGTGATTGGAGCTTGGCGACTCATAGCTGTGAATATTTGAATTGACTATATTGAGAAATGAGGGGTCTCTGAGTTTATTTGTTTTCTTGCAGACGTTTCATTACCCTAGGTAACATCATCAGTACTGAGCTACACATATTCTCCTTTATTGGTATATTGAGAAACTTTGGGCCTTCAGTGAGAGATGCTTTATATTAGGTGTAGGCAAGTGGCACAATCTTCAAAGGTAACTGTTCAGTGGGGAGAGATAAGTATCAACCTGCACAGGGTTGAATGTAACTAAAGTCTGAGGAGAGAGGGAGGAAGGGTGGAGAGTGGAGAGAGAAAAAATGTCTACTTTATGGTTCCAGACACTAATTCTTCAAGCAATGAATGGAAAACATGTGGCTACAATTAGAGGGAGAAATAGGGTTGTAAATTTAATTACCCACATCCCACGCACCCCATAATTCAACACCAGTTACTCAAAGCACAAACATTGCCTCTCATTGGTCTGTTATTGATCTGCTGGTCACATTGCACACATGGTGTATACTGGAACTTGCTTTTTGCCTTTTATTTCCTGGAATTGAACTAGCTTTCTTGATTTTCCTGTTTCTATGGAATAGCATGGGTGGTCTTGATTTGAAGCAGATAAAGTATGTAGTGTTTTAGTTGGCATTGCTTGTCACCAAGCCAGCTGAACTATCATAACTTGGATATTGTGGCTTTGTAGAAGTTCCTTACAAGTGGTATTGGAGTTGTCTGCAACCTGGGTAGATATATTAAACTGTTACAGAAAGCCAGCAGTATTTTAAAATATTGAAAAAAGGGATGCTGAGTGAATCAACTTTGAGGGGTTCCTTAGAATAAACAAATAAATTGTTTTGGATGTCATCAACTTCAAGCAATTCAGCTTGGGCTCCTTCCCTTCTTCTGGTTCTTGACACTTTTTATTAGAGATTTCAGGAACTGAACCCAAATGTTTCTGGAATTGGGAATAGTGTTCTACCAGGGTTTCCGGGGCAGTGTGTCAAGGTACAATGACCATGGCAAAGATTGAAGAACCAGTGAATTAACCAGTTCTTCAGAATCTTTCGAGACAAGGAGAGGACAGAAGACTACCCTCATATGTTCCTGAAGGCTGTTTCTTGCAAGGAAACAGCATGATATAGGTTCCCCAGGTTTGAGCCCTGAGTGATGAAGACATTAGTCATCATGTTACTCACAAACATGGCAGAGCCTTTTAAAGGACACAGTTTGCCAACCCCAATTTGGAAATTGCTTATTTATCTATCTTAAACTATTAAGAGAACTTCAAAATGACAAGCTTGAAAAGCCTATCTTATTTCTGAACAAAGGAAAAATTAACTAGAAGTTTAGGAACTTAAGTTTTTTTTTAAATGGCAAAAAGCTAAATAAGATTTTAAACTAAGAAAATTATAAACAAGGTTCCAAACAAATTTGAAACACTGAAACGTTTAATATAAAATTTTGGAACTAATTATGTAAAAGAGCTTTTGTCTACTGTAAGTCACAAAGCAAATTATAGTGGGGACTAAAGATTCCAGGCAAAAAGGAAAAAAAGTGTAAACTTAACTTTCATTTTGATCACTACTAGAATTTACAAAATGATACAACACATTATAATATTTGAAATATTAAAGAAAAGGGCCAGAAATTGGTAACCACTAAATCAATAATATCAATAACAAGGTCTGTTTCCATGGATAGAGTGGATAGAAAGCAGTTAATGAAGGAATGACAAATATGAAACAAATGTTGCTTGATGTAGAAATAGTAGAATCAGAAATATTGGATTTTAAAAAGTGTGGAATACATAAGTCATTTAAAATGGAAATACAAGTGACAGGCTTGGATAAGGATTTTTTGCTGGAAGAAACTGACTCAAGTTTTAAAACTTAAAGGGGAAAGGGTGATGACCTTGATAATGTTTTTTATTGGATTTACAAAGGAGGCTTGTTAAAAGCCTCCATCAAAGAAACATGTGGGATGGAACAAA